TGCAGGTAATGGAGGCAGTGATTGCTGAAGGTGAGATGGATTTGAGGTTTCTGTAGGTTATTGTGCGTTTTTGCTTTTGGGCGGGGATGGGGATGTTGATATCCATGATGATGGCCAGGTGATCAGAGATGTGGAGATTGAGGCTGGACAGATGATGGATGGTGAGACCAGTGGAGCAGACCAAGTCCAGGATGTGACCACGGCTGTGTGTTGGGAAGTTGATGTGTTGAGAGAAGTTGCAGCAATGAAGGGTTTCCTTAAATTCAGAGGCATATTTGCAGGTCGGGTCATCAATATGAATGTTAAAATCCCCTAAGAGGAGAACGGATGGGGATATGGCAGAAAGCTGAGTGAGAATGTCAGAGAGGTCGGAGAGAAAGGAGGGGTTTGGCTTCGGGGGACGGTAGATGATGGCTGTGACCAGGGGAGTGGGACCAGAGAGTTTAAAGATCAGGTGTTCAAATGAAGAAGCATCAGGGATGGGGATTATGGTAGCTTTTATTTCCTTTCTGATAATAGCAGCTATACCACCACCCCGCCCTTGTGGGCGAGGTTTGTCAATGTATGTGAATCCTGCTGGGGTGATTTGATTTAAAGAAAAATAGTCCAGGGGCTTTTGCCATGTTTCGGTCAGATACAGAAAGTCCAGGTTATTGTCTTTAAAGGCCATGAAATGTCCAAAATAAACGCTATTCTGTGTTAATAAATCGCTTCATCACTTTCCACTGTTTCATTTGACATATCAACATCAATGATTCTTTCCATAAATACCCCCCAAATAACATGAAATGTGTGCCACTTTCCCGTGTTATTCCGCTCCGGTAGCGAAAAGCTTGCCAGCCATTAACCCAGCTGTGTGGCGTCACACGTGGCAAACACCAGCCTCGTCTGGATTGTTTGTTTTGTATCCTTCCGCTATTTTCGCTCAACATATGTGTAACCGGACCTCGCCAAACTTTTTTTATCTAACAATTCATGATGGGGAAGCGATGTGTAGTTGTGAGCTGTGAATGTTTCCTGATTGCTATAAACATTGATCATGGGTGCTGGAAGATTGTGGACAAAACTCGGGTCAGAATTAAGTTACTACAGGTGTTATGCCAGCTTGAGCTAAATGTCACCAGAGTACAGTGAACTTGCCTAGTGACTGAAATATATAAAAGTTGAAGTGAAATAAGTAAGGCCAAAAATGAATTACGTCTGAATATCTTTATTATTTTTACCACTTTTAATTATTTGTGGGTGTTAGAATATGACATAGATATATGTATATTGTATATGACTTATATTATTACTGTGCACCACATTGTCTATGTAAGTAGCTGCGACTACTAACTGTGTTCATTGGTTAGCTGCTGTACCACATGATTGATGATGTCACTACCTAGGG